CAAGAGGGCCGTCGCCCAGGTAAATGAGAAATCACTGCTGCATGCGGAAAAGAAAGGCCGGGTAGGGAGGCGGCAGGCGCCGATGGATTCTAGGCCATCGACGTCGAGCGAAAAGTGACGCAGCACATGCAGTCGCGAGTGCGTGAGCCAAACAAGCTTAGTAAGCCATCAGCGTAGTCATGCGGGTTGAAGATCGAAGATACGATGAGCACAATGAATGGGTAAGGGTCATTAGCGCAGCGCTTGGCAATTACGCTACGATTCAATATCACCTACTAACCCAGGCCAATCATCATAATTATACAGGTTAGCTAGAGGTGGTAAACACCTCAGCTAATGTGCCGCAATACACCGAAAAAAAGAAAAAAAGTGCAACAGACGCATGCCAGCCAGCTGAGCTACCAGTAACGGATGGGCATCGTTCCGGAAAGTAACCATTGTGTATGTTGAAGGACCATGGGCCGGCTCCCTTAAGGAAACGTTACTCTCATCAGCATACCTCCCGGTCTTATTCATTCGAGTTTAAACTGGATTTGAGATTTGTGGATGGAGCTGTGGGTGGTGTAGTATAAGCCATTCACGGTTCTTTTGTAGGTGAAGGCGTCCTGCGGCTGTCTAATGGAGGTCCTAGTGAATAGCGAATCCGGAATCGGATGCCGCTAAGCATATATATATATATATATATATATATATATATATATATATATATATATATATATATATATATATATATATATATATATATATATATATATATATATATATATATATATGTCTGTGTGTGTGTGTGGACAACTCTCTAATGCACGGTAGCGAAGGTTGAACCGCGCTGTCACAGTTAGCTGTGTAGCCAAGGTAGCGGCCGATCATCTCAAGGAGCCCAAAGTGGAGGATCCCGTGTCCTAAGCCCTCTTTGCGTAGATGAAATGCACAGGGCTGATAAGCTCAGAAAAGAGGAAATGGTTACCTAACGTTTTTGCCGATGTACAATTGATGCCACCGAATGATGATAAACGGAGGCAACATTTACGTTATGTTCAGTATCATTGCGCAATCGAGCAACCGGTATAACTAATCACAGAACCATGTTACGCACGGATGTTGAGAATTCTAATAAAATGGCAACATCAAGCGTCCACTTTGAATAAAGTTTTAAGCGGCGCGAACAGAAACAACTTAACGCGTAGAACATTCACGCTGCCAAAATGTGCAAGTGGTTAGATCAAACAGCTGACACTGCAAAGAGCATGAAAAATAATGAGGTAACTCCAAGGTAAGCTGAATGGGTGTAACTCGAGTACTGAGCACATACGGGTAGCACTGACAACGTGGACATTTTGAACGAATTTAACGCGCAGTAATGACAGCGAAACCCCGATGTTTAGTCAGCCACTGTGTGTGAATCTCAAATAATTAGATAACCACAGCACCTGAGAGAAAAAGATGACAAGTGAGTAATAAACAAGGACAACTGATGATTTAGACGATAAAGAAGCAAGACCGTTTCATGGGATCAGATATTCAACGTAAGCGATTATTCAGCCGTAGTAGCGCTGTAGGCTACTGGGCGCGTCCCCAGTTTGCGGGTTGGTGAATGTCTTCCTTGCGGAGGTAACCGCGAATGCGTCTAATGCTTCACATTGAGAGAAATATCCAGTCGTAGACAAATCAGAGGTGATGTGGGATGATGTGGTGGGTTTTTGCCTGGCAAGCATTCTGCCAATGAAAAGTCATATGAAAGCACTATGACGTGATGGATGTGACTCGCTACCAAACAGTCATCGCCAACAGGAGTGTTGGGCCCGTGATATGGCTTATAGCCATGCGAAAGTCGTATAAGTTGATAATACAGACAGGTTCAAAATGGATGGGAATCCCTTATCTCACCTTGCTGCTTTGCAGGCTATGCCACGGCCAAAGGCGACTCGGGTTGGCGGTCAACCAACATAAATCTCCCTACTTCGGCCTAGACAACAGGATAGATCCACCTACCGATGAATCATGCATGGAACCGAACTGAAATGCATTCCTTCGCTATAGGGATGGTTTTCTCCACTGCTACTACTACTACTACTACTACTACTACTACTACTACTACTACGAATACATTCCACTTACTTGTCGACTGCCCCTCTGTATTAGCTAGTCCCGTTATTTTCCAACGGTGCACAGCACTGCTTCCTCTGATGAAACAGTCACCTTACTATCCTCTAACTCAATCACATAGCGCCAAACCGGGATTAGTCAGTCCAAAACTCCCATCTCCGCTTCTCTAAACTAAGACACAGTTCAACTTGGCAGCGTTCAATATGCGCACGCTAAAGTAGGTTGGACAACAAGCCGGTTTTACATGCACTTTAGAAGCTTGTGAAAAATATCTGCTGGTTGTCAGAAACAAGACTTCTTGTCCCGGCACCATCCACCAATTGTTGTCACCAATGCAACCATACACTCGTTCTCATCTTCGTTTTACTGAAGATGCCGAGTCCACCGCATCCAGGCAAGCTGGTGTTGGAATCGATTTCAGCGCCAAAGCTGAATCTGCCTCTCTTGAAGACATTCAAATCCACCATCGCCCCTGCACTACGTAGCTCTGTGGCTCGTACAAGATCAACAGGCATCGAAGAGACAGGTGTCCTCTTGTTGTAATCTGCACCCATGCTTTCAATGACCGCAGACAGAATATAGTCAAGGACCAATCATACCATAACTTTAATGGTCTATTGCGAAGGGCTAACAAAACAAATATCGTTATTATGGCGAAATGAGAGAGATGAAATCGTATGTTGGTCGTTTGCTGCCGAGCAAACGCTATCTTGAAGATCTGCATAAATATTATGAAGTTCGCACGAATAATGAAAAAAGATCGCGCAGTTTGTGTGCCAACCGCCAGCTTTACCTTTCCACCACGAACCCTCGCCATTCTAGGCGCCACTACGTTGGACCACATCGTCATAAGTCGTCGGTGGAGTGGTAGTATCCGGGCTGAAGATCATATTGGCCAACTTGCGTCGAATCTGATCACGCGCTAGTACGTGCAACGGCTTTCATGCTTTCCAGTAGCTCACGCATTGCAATGGCCAGAGCTGTCTTCTTGAATATGCGGCATCTTTGGTGAGTTTCTCTCCGTCTGAAAGGCTGTGCATACAAGGCCACAGTGAGAGCCGTTCCGCTCTCTGGCAATGAGATTTGGCCCCTTTCGGTCTGAAGATCTGAGCCGCCTTCAAGTCTTTGATCGTCATTGTCTGCGAAGCATTGCTAGTGTCAGATGGCACCAGCGTGTCCGCAACGATGATGTGTGTAGGCGAGTACTAGGTATTGATAATCATGCTAACACCCTATAACAAGAAATAACACTGAATAAATTGCGTTGGTTTGATTCACCTGCTACGTATGCATGGTCACCGCTTACCTAGGAGGGCCTTGTTTCGTCTGCCAGGTGTAGGGTGGCGCAAGGCTCGAGGTAGACAGAAGTTGACTTGGCAGCGTGAAATGAAGTCACTCATGACCAAACTGGGTGACGTTGGTCCTTCTCGCCGTTTGGGATGGAGTCCACATGCCTCGTCTTAAGCTTGTCTCGAGAGTTTACAAGACCTAGCTCGCAAGCGACACCAGTGAAGCATCTGCTGCCGTCTGCTAATCAGATTGCCTCTTTACAGTGTGTTTGGTGCTGAGTTATCTGCGGGGTAATGGCTGATTATGACGCGTGGCAGTGAAAGCCACAAGGAAGCTGTCTCGCCGATGCCCCCTTATCTTTGCGCAATAGCCAGCTGTTTGTGACGGTATGTTGCTAACACAATGTGTAGGCGTCTTGACTCTGAATGTTTGATTAAGGCATTAATGTTTTCAGGTAAGTCCCCCTTCTCTCCCACTTATTTCGCTTTATTCCTTAGATTATCATGGTTCTATGACAGCGAAGCATCAGTTCAAATGGCTGATGTACTGCCGTTGTTGTTGTTGATGAGGATGATGACTGACAACTTCCGTAAATAGGGAAATGTTGATGCATAACAAAATGTCACCTCGTATCTTTGACAGACGGGCGCAGTGGAAATACGAGTAGGAGTGGAGTTCAGCCTACTGGTAACGGTTTCAAATGCAAACCAGATCTGCGAGTATTACAGTATCTGGTTAGTTAGATGCAATGAATCATCAGTGTCGTGCGTATTCAGCAGACTGCCGATGTTGTTGAAAACTATGCAAAGACTGAGGCCGGTAACTCGGGGTGGACCCAAAGCTTGAAGGACCAGTTGATGTGGATATGCCTATGGACACGTACTGCGGAGATTGGTTCTGACCACCCGGTAGCCGTGCGGAAGTCATTCCGCGAGGTGTTTTATCGGAAGACGATCGGAAACTCGACACGAATGGAAGGCCAGTGGTCACACCCGGGCGCAAAATTGTGAAAACAAGAAAATAAACGGCGCATGTTATCTGAATATGACATTTGATACAAGAATACACCGTTGACACCACCGGCCTTAGCTCATAAGTCGTTTCTTTTACTGAAGTCGTACACCCAGTCAGCGCGAATGACCGATAGGCTGCCGCTGAGTGAGCAACCTGTGTGTCCCTGGCTGTCCCATTAAGACACATTACGGTGACACATCGGCAGGCTTACGTCTACAGTAATGTGTCATGAAGCTTTGGGAATGGATTCTCTTCGAGCGCGGAGGGTACTGAGGGTTAGAAAAATTATTTGCACAGCGTACATTAGGGCTAAGCTAAAAGTAGTTTTTTCTGGGGACCGAAAGTCGTCCAAAAATGCGTCGCACTGAGGTCAGGAGCACGAAAACAGTCACTCAGGGCTCCGCAAAGGTCCCTCCAGCGTACACCAATCGGTCTCTGCGGTATGCAGATAGCCTTCGTGGTGAAATTACGGGACGAAGCGATAAACAATTTATCCAAATACGGTGAGACAAATTCATGAGAGCCAAGCTCGAATGGGACAATTAAAGGAATATCCGTGAAAAATATGCTAGAATTGGACAGAGGCATACTTGGCGTCGGAGCACAAGAGTTGTTCGATAGAGCCCTTCAAATCCACAGAGGTCGATGGCACGAATTGTATGTGCGTATAGCCAAGGCGCTCTCGCGCAAGAAACTCAAATATATAATTAACTATCCAATGAGCAGGATCATTAGAAGCGGCGATTTTCAATACAAGCGATCGATTGTTGAAATTGAAGGTCCGGTTCCATTTAAGGGTGTCTAGAAGAGGTAAGACAGAAGAAAAAAACAAACCAGAACCACTGAAACATTTTGATATTCCAGCTCCCGAAGCAGAAAGGACTGATAGGTTGAGTAAAAAAAGTATCAAACAAGGGTTAGCAGTAGAACGTCTTTGTACAGAAGGTGACATCAATAGTAGCAAATGACCATTGTAGTGGGTGTTAATCGACCTACTGATAGGAAGAGTAATAGAAAACCTGTACGGACATACGTTTAGTAAGGTGTTTAGAAGAGAATTAAGGCAACGAAAGTGTGCGGTCGAGGATTCCGAGGACTTCCGTGTCCATGGTGTAGATAGGTCGTAATAGACCTGGGGAGCTGCAATGGAAAGCAAATACCTTGTAGGTGGCTGGATACTCATACCTAAACCAATTAGTAAGAGACCAAACGAAATGTGAAGGTAAAGAGAAGATGAAGAACTAATGGCCGTTTAGTCGAGGTACAACGATCTCCTTATCTTGGGGATCACCGCAATGTCACTCTCGGACCTGCTACACTATCCTTCCTGTTGACAGGCGCTGTCCTCAGCGCCTACAATAGCCCTAGTCGGTCTTCAGTTGCTGATATGAAGAACAACTGATGAATGCCGTGTGTCCGGTCCGAAATACTCCGCGACAAACAGTGTGATCACAGTAAAGTTAATGAACGCCACAAGAGCAACGATTCAGGTTCAGGGACTGCCGTCGTGAACAGGCAAGGTCGTTAAATGTGTAACATGCGTCTGGCCTACGATCTGCTGGTGTACAGCTGAGGAGCATGGTGTGCTTGGTTTGAGAGATTCCCCGACAATCAGTGTGGTCACAGGAAAGTCATTGATAGCGTCAAGAGCAACGATCCAGCTTCAGGGACTGCTGTCAGGAACTGGCAGGGTCGCCAAATATGTAATATGCGTCCGGTTGTGGATTCCGAGGGCTTCCGTGTCCAGGTAGGTCGTAGGTCATAATGGAGCTGGGCAACTTCAATGGAAAACAAGTACCTCGTAGGTGGCTGGGTACTCGTATCACAAGCACCTGGCAAATGATCAAACGAAACGTGAAGGTAAAGAGAAGGGTAAAGCTCAATGGTCGTCTAACCGAGGTACAACAATCTCTGAGGATAACGATGTCCGTCTGAGCATTCCGTTACACAAGTTTTTTAGTGATAGAAAACGAATCGAGATCGTTTTCTGGAGAATCACTTATTGAAGTGCAAGGTCATGCATATCGGATAAGGTGCGTGCACTATCGGCGGCGTGCGTTTTAACGTCCCATCCTAGGAATGCGACGTAGGCACCATTATATCCGTCGACCTGAGCCCGAGCACTAACGTAGCCACATTGCCGACACCAGCGTGCGCCTGGCCCGCCTTGGGCGTGCATTAGGGACATCCCCTAGAGAAACATTTGTCCGCCTCTACAGCACCTCGGTAGGCCCACTGTTGGAGTACAATATGCTTTCCCAACCGCCGTATCTGAAGAAGGACGAGGTTTTGCTGGAAACTGCAAGGCGTAGAGCCGCTAAGAAAGTGGAGGGACTATCCCACCTCTCACACGAAGAGCGCCTTGTGGCCCTTAAACTCTTCCCACTGAAATATCGTAGGCTTCATGGTGATCTCATCCTAGCCTATTCTATCCTGACTAACAACAGGCATCCTAATACCGTTCGCGCCCGCACAGACCATCTAAAAGGGGACTTGGTCAAACTTATGGCTCGCAGTAGTCAACTTCAGTGCCGAAGAACCAGCTTTAGTGTGCGTATCGCCTTCGTCTGGAACGTTCTGTCTGAAAATGTCTCAGTACATAATACAGAGGCCTTCAAACAACGTCTAGATGCTTGGCTCTTGCCTCGCTGGCCTTTAATGTTAAAAGACTTGAGCTATTCGCCAAGCTAGCTGGTAGGGTCACTACTTTTGACAAACTAGCTCGTAGCACTCCACCTATTTAGCACCTAGTTAACTTTACTGAAACGTCCGCAAGTTTGACACCTTTGGGTCGCCGTACTGCCAAGTCTATGCCCTCAGTTGCAAAGCAATAACACCACCAACATCGGCCGTTTACCTGTACACTAGTCCTTTTCTTCCAAATAGTCACATCTCCACAATCAAGATGCTGGATACCTGTGCTCCACACCACTACCGAGTCGCAATCGATCATTCTTGGAACGTACAGACAACAACAGGACACTGCAGTAAGACCTCGAGGCAGAACAACCGAAAAGCAAAGCGCACTCGTTCTGCACAAACCCATGAATATTTGGACTACATCTTCTATGGCGTCCAAATGTTTGTCCTGTGTCAAAGGTATCACCTCTCGATCCAAAGCCGCACCGTGGTCTGAATATGATGGGTGGATGCATACAGCTTGATTTGGCATCGGTCCTGATCAGTACAAATCTCTACAGCTGATGACCTCTCCAGCTACTCTTTTCTTGTGTGATGTCTGCCGTACCTCGTTAAACAAATATCTTGTGAATGGACTCTCCTCGCTCAGCCCTCACCCCACTCCAACGAATCCCATATATATATATATATATATATATATATATATATATATATATATACACAATCTGTGGTACAGATATTGTGCCATCAGAATCATGGCTGAATAGGAAAACAATATGAATAATAAGAAAAGAGCAACAAGAACTGCTTTTTGGTCCATTTTGCCACTCACAGCTTTTGACATTTTTTCAGTTTATTCTTTTTTTAGGGGAAGGAAGAAGGGACACCGCAACAAACCGATGCAAGCGTCCGCCATTGACATCAGTATCGAGCCATAACTTCCAAGGTCTTCAACCAGCAAGTATCCTCATCTCTCGGACCCCAACCAGGTAGTCGACAACAACCGGCCGAGGCCAACTGTTTTGTCAACTTTTTCATGCGGCTTCTCCATGTTGTAGGCTGTCCACCAGACCGTCTCTTCCAGCCCTGTCCAGCAAGTGCAAACAACGCACGACGTGGGTAACGCTGGACAGGCATGCGCAATACGTGTCCCAACCACCGCAGTTGATGCAGTGAGACGAGCTCCTCGAGCGAGTGGCTTCCACGTCCCAAGACATGTTGTCTAACTTCCAAATTGCTCACGTGGTGCTGCCACCACACACGGGCAATGGACCGCAGACAGCGGTGCTCGAAGACGGATAGCCTGCGCAAGTCATCTTTACGAATGGGTCAGGTCTCGCATCCGTACAACAGTACAGCACGAACAGTTGCACAATAGACCCGCCCTTTGATGGAGAGATGAATGTCGTGGCGACGCCACAAATGCCTCAGCCTAGAAAAAGCGAGGCCTGCTCTTGAGATGCGCATCGAAATCTCGTCTCCAACAGACCCGCCAGCAGTGATGCAACTTCCCAAGTAGACAAAGCTCTCCACAACCTCTAGTGTCTCACCAGCAAGCGTGAGTGCAGGCAGAGGCACCTGCCAGTCTTGAAAGAGAGCCTTGCATTTGGATGGCGAAAAGTACATACCATACTTTGATGCTTCAATCGCCAAGCGGTTAAATGCAAGTTGGACGACGTGTGGATCGTCACCCAGCAAGATGATATCATCAGCATAATCCAAATCAACAACTCGACTACCTGGGAGGAGCTCAACGCCAGCGTTCAACGAATCGCCCAGAGCATTCTTCAGGACATCCTCAATGGCAAAGTTGAATAGGAACGGAAAGATGGGGCATCCTTGTCGAACTCCACTGGAGACCACAAAGGTAGGCGAAAGCATGCCATAAGCCCTAACCCTGCCCGAGGTCAGACTATATAGAGTGCGCAGTATGGAGACGAACTTCTCGGGGACACCATTCCTCAGTAGGCAATGCCATAGTACTGTACGATCGACAGAATCGAAGGCTGCACGGATATCCAGGAACACAGCAATCGTTGACCTCTGATACACATGGCGGAGCTCGAGGATCTGCAACGCACCCACCACCCAAGACCCCCTTGGTTCATCCTCATTCACTTCCTTCTGCCTCCGCCCCAATCTGCCCACAGGCAAGCGAAGTCGCGTGCCGTCGGAGCCATTGGTATACGTCCGTCAGAATGAGCCCAAAACCAAGATATAGACTGTGGCCGTAAGGGAAAGCACCACCGCTTCTGGTGCACAAATCCCGCCTATGTATAACGCCAGGACGAAGTTTAAATCCAAGCCTTCTGTCAGTCCCAGAGTAAATCTATTCTTGACAAGATTAGCCAGTTGGAAACGCAAGCAGACAGCGAAAATCCTCCTCAACCACAGAACACGAAGCGTGTCTAACCACCCTCCCGTGACCGATGCCTCATCATCATGAACGCGCCTGAATCAAGCAAAGATACCGCAACCGGAGGGATGTTAGACGACCAAGTGTTCCTTGAATAGCTGACCTCTCATTCGTCGAAGTTGAACAGGGAATCAACATTATCTTGGCCTTCCGCTTGGATAGAAAACAAGATTCTATCAAGACTCGTCCCCTTAAGGTTGTGTGCCAAGACGAGGAAGAATGTCAGCGCATTCTCTGATGGACCCCAAGTCTCAAAGGCGAGCCGTTTTATGTGTTGAGAGATCTCTCCCCTGAGGATCAGATTAAAAGGAAAAAGCTGTTATGGAGCTGAGAACTCCTCGGGCGAGTGGTGAGACAGTGCACCATAGCTTGGATTTTCGCGTAGTTCGGAAAACTTCGAGAACCCGTTGGAGGCTGATTCTCGTCACCCCAGGACAGTAAGGCAAAAGAATAGACTGCATGTGCGGTTCGCCAATGTACGAAGTCTGCGAAATAAGCTTGATGAGATCCAGATGCCGCAGATCTTTCTCCTAACTTAATGGGCTTCCACGAAACATATTCCCAGACATCACTGACTCTGAAGTGTCCAACCCTGGACACCACCTTTCACGAGCCGATCGTCATGGGGGGAATTCGGGAGACGGTGTAATACTCTACTGGAGGGCGTAACTGAAGGCCTATCTAGTTGAGGTCTCCTGTGACAATGACGATGATTTCGATGCCCTTGGGTGCCGCATTCATGACAGATGCAGACCTTCTTTGATTGGTGTCAGCTACAGAGCGCCACAGGACGCTGGAGCTCTCCGGTTGGAATTGATCAGGAAGCACGGTGCAGGAAAGGACTGCCTTATCGTTGGAGATTTCAATGCTTCTAATATCGACTGGGACCTCATTCT